CCCATAATCAAGAATTGGCAATACAGTTAATTTGACCAAATTTTGCTTTGAAGAGTGCATAAAGAAAAATTTATTTCTTTAGAGTAAACCAATACTGGCTTTAACCCTTTCGACCAATTCATTTATTTGAGTTTCAAATCACCGTTTATCATCTAACCAGATTCCAAGATATTTGTAGCAGTCAACATAATCAATCTCATTACCGTCCATTGGGGAAATTTTAGAAGGAAACTAAACATGTGGTGAATTTCTATTAAAGACCACACCTTTTGTTTTATTAGTATTTAAATCTAAACGAAGATTGGTAAAAGCGTGTTGGATGCAGAAAGTGAAGACCCTCAAATTCAACTTTGCATCACTGGAATAAAAACACATTTAAAATATATTACAATAGAAAATAGTTAATTTAAGTATTGAAAAGGACTAGAAATAAATGACTGTTTTCATCAACTGACATTAAAAAAGAGGAATTAATAATTGTAATGTATTGTTTAGTGTTAAATACAATAAAATGAACTAATATGGACTAATTGTAGTATAAACTTTTAAATGCCTATGGGACAAAGAGATTATGATTTGATAGAAAACCCTTCATCCAACCTGTCTTTCCCATTTGTTCTGCAGTACATCCAGAACGGCCTTGCCGAAATCCAGGAATTATGGGGCGGACTGTGCAAATGGTCTCTCTCTCTCTTTCTCTCTCTCTCTCTCCTCAAATCACACTCTTCCTCCCATTACGTCCGTCCTGACAACCACAGCTTTCCCACAAACGATTTATCTTCCACAAAGGTTGCTATTTGTTTGTTGGGAGCAGATGTGTTGCTGTTTCTTCGCAGTGTTATGAAGCGCTTCAGCATGCTGCATTTGATTAGCCATCCTTAGAAGGCCGTGAGTAAAAACAGTGCGTAAAAATTTGTGTTGCATGTTTCCACTCCTGACCTCTTTCGAGTTCAGCTTGTCCGCACCTGGTTTCCTTTAGCTTTCTATAAAGAGACTCACATCATATGGAGAGAGGCAACCGAGTCCAAATGTTCAACAAACACATGGGGAAAGAAACTGGAATCTGTATAACTTTGACGTTTAGCATCTCACAGAATGGAAAATGTCTTTGTTAAAGCGCCATAGCACGTGTGCGAGATAAAGCCGCTCTGAGTTAACAGAATTGACTAAATTAGGCCTTTTGTATCTACTTTGTATGCATAATAAAAATATTGGCTGCACAATCACTGTCTCGCATCATAAACAGCTCAAAATGATCTCAAGAACACCAAAAGATGCTTTTAAATGGGATGCCAAACCGAGTGAAAATGCATGGCAGATGTGTTACCTTGGCGAAAGCGAGGTCACCAGAAGCGGGGAGCAGGAACGAGGGGTTTTTGTGCCCGTTGCAGAGAAATGAAGGGGTGGCAGGAAACAACAGTGGCACTGCTGGCTTCACTTACTGCCCTGTTGGAGCCCCAATGACCGCCAGACTGTTGCCTCTGAAACCCCCTGCTGCTCCGGTTCCTCATCATAAATCCAGGTGAGGAGGGACCCTTTGAGTCAGACGGGCCCCACAGGGGGTCAGAGGGGTCTTATGATCAGGGACAGGGCTTGTATGAGATTTTGACTTTGGGAAAAAGTGAGGCACTTTAATTTGTACAAAAAATTTTTTTTAAGCTTTTCATGTGCTCTCAATAATGACATTTGCTGTTTGTTCAAATTACTTTTTTAAACTGAAGCTGGAACAACACAATTATTGAGGCTTTTTGAGGTCAACTTAATTGTTCAATTCGCTTAAGTTTGTAAAAACTAAGAATTTAATCAATTGTGTGGAACCCAGCATTTTTATTTTCAGTGTGAATAGTAAGAGCTGATTTTGTTCATTGACAATTGATCGCATGATTGTGGCTTGGTGCACAGAGCCGCAGTCATTTTCTGGAAGTAAAATCAATTGTCATAACTAAACCTATAGGCGAATTACCGGTTTGTAAACATTCGGGATGCACATAAGGCTTTCAGCATATTATAACAGCTTGTATCCAGTGATAAGCACTGTTATTTGGATAAATTAACGTTAAAGTGAGCGGCGTTTGTCTGACAGGTCCATTTGCAATAGCACCCTCCCAATGGATAAGACGAATTGGCCAAGTATCCAGCCCCAAATATACAACTATCTCATTGAAACTCCAAATGATTTTACAAGAGACAAGTTAAATGCCTACAAGTCTTTGGATGCCTACAGTTTTGTTCTGTGTGGTCATGTGCAAGAAATAATGTTCCATGATTACCAGATTTAAAACTATGTAGTGCTAAAAATTGAGGTTCTGCCTAGCCAAAGACAAGTAAAGAAGACAGAACTGTATAAGGCCTGAGTAGTCGTCAACAAGTAAAACAGCTGCATTTTGACAGCTGTAGGGCAGGGTATACATGTTTACATGTCATTCTAAGCATTCAGTGTCCGCAGTTTAATTAACCATATTTAACAGTTTCTGCTGAAATCATTGCTGCAATCAAAAACAAGTAATGTGTATGAATTAGCATAGTGTGATATGAAATGAGAACTGTAGAGTCGCGCATTTGTAATTAGGTCCTCACACCATTCAGCTCTTCTGATGGCTGTTAATCAAAGACGTCTGCGGTTGGCATTAAAATCAGTATGGTGTATGGTAAAAGTTAAGTTTTCTATTTTTGGACTTTTGATTTTGGCATCCTACTGCACAACACGACATGTTTGCTAATGCAACCGGTCTTTTTTTGCACCCGGTGAACCTGTGTGACGTCATGTGTGACGTAGGTTGGTAATTCCCCTATAAAGACAGACATTTTGTAAGCTCTGGGGTTGTTATCCACTTAAATTTGTAAAAACTAATAACTTAACTTGATTCCTTCAAGTTGTCCTAACACTATTTTATTTTCAGTGTGAATAGTGAGAGCTGATTTTGTTCATTGGGAATTGATCGCATGATTGTGGCTTGGTGCAGTGACCAACAGTCATTTTCTGGAAGTAAAAACAATTGTCATAACAAGTAAACCTTTAAAGACACATTTTGTAAGGTCTGAGGTTGTTAATTGATTGTATATGCTTTTGCTGAACAATCTGTTCACATTAATTCAATGTATTTGTATAAAAACGTATACAAAACATGCATTAATGGCAGAATGAATGCAGAAGAACGGCATTATATGATTCTGTACAGAAAATTCAACCAATCAGAGCAACCAAAGTGTGACAAAATATATCTTTAGCCACACCCACTCCCATAAAGCACTATATCTTATGTTACATTAGCTAGGAATGTGCAATAATGATTTAGCCAATTAGATTTCTCAAAAAGCATAAATTAATGTAAATATTCATTTAAAATAAATAATAATTCATTCATTCATTTTCTTTTTGGCTTAGTCCCTTTATTAATCCAGAGTGACCACAGCAGAATTAACCACCAACCTATCCAGCATATATTTTACGCGGATGCCCTTCCAGCTGCAACCCCATCACTGAGAACATCCATACACACTCATTCACACACATACACTACGGACAATTTAGCTTATTCAATTCACCTATAGTGCATGCCTTTGAACTGGGGGAACCCGGAGCACCCGGAGCAAACACACGTAAGCACAAGGAAAAATAAATTATGAGAAATATAATAAATAAATAAAAATATTATTCAGAGTTTGTTTTTCATTCATTCATTTTCTTTTTCGGCTTAGTCCCTTTATTAATCCGGGGTCGCCACAGTGGAATGAACCACCAGCTTATCCAGCAAGTTTTTACGCAGCAGATGCCCTTTCAGCCGCAAAACATCTCTGGGAAACATTCACACACACATTCACACACACACTCATACGGACAATTTAGCCTACTCAATGTGAACGCAGGGAGAACATGCAAACTCCACACAGAAACGCCAGCTGAGCCGAGGCTCAAACCAGCGACCCAGCAGCCTTGTTGTTGTGAGGCGACAGAACTACCTACTGCGCCACTGCTTCGCCCAGAGTTTGTTTTTATTTACTAAATTAAATTTGAGATTATTTGTGTATCAGAAATGTTGCATGTTTCAATAAGCACAAATCCACAGAATGTCAACTAAAATGCATTTCATTATATTTACACTTTACAACAAAACTTGTAAAATCTTAAATGATAAAAGCATTATTAGCATGACAATTAAGTCAGTCTTAACCACCTTACTTTGCAATGTGAAAGAAAACTCTTATTAAGGAAATACTTGTTGGGAACATTAAGCAGCATAACAGGCTGTTTTGTAGAGCTGAAAATCAATGGAAGTCAATAGAAACCAATGGAACACAATTAAGTTCTGTATGCAAGGGCTGGGCCTGCTCTTATGTGAAAAATTAGGTGAATACGCTCTCAAAATGCTAAAATGCTATACAGAACACCCACCAATCTGAGAGTCTCAGAGCGCAAAGCACATCAAAAGATTAGACTTGTTCACTTCCATAAAGCACAACAAATGAGGCAGACTCAGTCTTTGTATGTGCTCTCAAAATCCTTAATTAGTCCATTTGCATATTTTGCAATAAGCCTAAAATAGACCTCATCACCCCATCTTAGTGTTATTTCTGAGTGTTTTTGTACATTGTGTAGCTTATTGTATATGTAATGTATGTTTGTATAGTAAATTGTTATGTTTTCTTTGTTTTTGTAAATTAAAATATGCTGTAGTAGGTGGCGGTTCATTCCGCTGTGGCTGAACGAAAATGAATGAATAAATGTACTTGGTATTTATATGAGAAAGTCTTACAAAAAATCCTTGATGTGCACAAATAAGTTATGAACTATCCCTTTAAGACCTTGTAATGAATCGTTTGAGTTAACGATTCACTGACTCACAAAAAGACTCGTTTGTCGCCACCTAACGGCGTTACTAAGCAACAAACAGAGATTATTTGAACGAGTCAATCAACAAAAAATATTCAGATTATCAGATCAAAGATTCGAGTCACTTTAGACTCGTTACTTTTAGACCAATCATGTGACTCCAAATGGCGTTCGTCGTGCGAGGAAAAGTCAGCGTGGTCATGCTATCATGTGAGTCTTATTATTTTCAAACATTTTCGCAAACATTTTGTGTGCTTGTGAAGATTTCCTTGAGTAAATTACGAGCGCTTGGTTAACGTTAAATGGAATACGTTACATTTCCCCTTTAAAAACAAACATTAGCTTTTCTAAACATTATTTTACTGTTGTTGTGTAAAGTTAGCTTTAACGTAATCTTCTGAACCGAAGGTAAAATATAGTGTTTGTAAATCGAAGTAAATCACTTCTGTTTTTTTCGCCCAGGTTTCTTATCACAGAGGTTTAAACTTTTCGTTAATAAAATCGACTAAATATGATTTTTCACTTTTTAAATGTATGAATTAACACATGTATGTAACGTTAGGCCTGTAGCGGTCTACATGGTTTTATACCCTCAAGTCCTACTGTCAGAGTAATTATAAATATTATTTTTCTTAAGTATTTGTGTTAAAATATGGCTGTCAAGTACTTAATTTATTCTGTGTCAAACTCTTATAATGTCAAATTTAATTTAAGTTTCTTTATAGTCCCCAATGAACTATAAAAAAATCATGTTCATCACTTTTAGTATAAGCATAGTTTAGTTTGACCGAAAAAACAACAAACACATTCACGACGAAATTCCTGGTATTGAACTTGCCTTAAAAAATAATTTATTAGCCTAGCAATAATAATGTAACTATATTTGTATACATTACAGAACAGGAATTACATTGTCAATGTCAATGAAACATACAAGAGAAAGAAAGAAAAAATAAATTAACATTATATGAATTTGAGAGTAAAATCTTTAAGAATCAATTACAGTAACGCTATATAATTTAAAGTCATTACAAAATGAAATAGTTCTGTTTGCTTATTTTCAATTAATGAGATTGTATTTAAATAATGACAAGGCTACTTAAAAATTTAACAGCACCATTAATACTTAATGTGACGTTTGTTTTCTACTCCCATGTTGCATTTTATAATTGTTTGTCTAAAATTTACATAAACAGAAAATGAATATACGCATTTTTTCAACCCATAATGTTTTTGTATTGAAGAAATACTGTGATGCACTGTAAAAAATAATTCGTATGATTTACAGTTTTTTTAAAGGTATGAGGTTGCAAAAAAATTTATTGGCTGAATTTACCAAAACTAGATCTTTATCACTTTTAGTATAAGCATATTGTAGTTTAGTTCATCATTATATTTTAGTTTTTGATTCTAGACCAAAAAACAAAAGCAAACAAATTCACTAAATGCCTGAAATTGTTTTTATGTTTAATTTTTATTTATTTATTTATTATTACATAAACAATAAAGGAATAGGCACATTTTCCAACCCCAAGGATATTTTTTTTATCTTTCTTTTGATCTTATTTTTTAAGTTATGTGGTTGCAAACCATTTTTATAGGCTAAATTTTCCCTTGAACTATAAAAATTATCATAGATGTTGATTACTTTTGTAATGAGTATGTTTTAATTTGACCAAAAAACAGATCATTAACAGTTGCTTCAATTTTTTTTTCTATTCCCCTGTTGCTTCGACTTTTTTTTCTAATGTTGCATTTTACAATTGTTTGTCTAAAATGTAAACACTAAAACCCAACAGTCAACTTTATCAAATGAAATGAGTGTAGTTAACTCAAAATTGACTGAAAGTTAATTCTGCTAAAACTACTAATTCTACTAAAACTATTATTTGAAAAGAGTTTTGAACTCAGTGTGGAAGGTAATGAGTTAAGTAAATACCTCATTACTTCAACTTAAATGGAGAAAGTTTACAGTACTTGTATAGATAAGTTTTTTTTTTAGTTTTTTTTTTTTTTACTTAAATGTTTTGTTGGAATTGGTTTCCTCAAACAGTTTGAGTCACCTTCACTTATTGGGTTTTACAGTGCTCAAATTACTTTGTTTACTCAAATTGTTTAAGTTAACATTACTCATTAGGATTAGCTTTTGAATGGAAATGGTTTGTTGCAATCGGTTTCCTCAAATGGTTTGAGTTACCTTAACTTTTTGGGTTTTACAGTGCATAAATGCACATTTTCCAACCCCAACGAAAACGTTTTTATATTGAAGAAATGCTGTGATGCACTGAAAAAATTTTTTCATTGAATTTACTAAATTATATTTTATAATATTTATTTATATAGTGGTTGCAAACTGTTTTAATGGACTGAATTTAAACAAATGATTGTACTTTTTAACCGGAGAAAAACCCAGTTTTGGTCTCCCTCTCTGGCTTGGAGCATGGTAAGGAGCTTTGGTGCCTTTTGTTTATTATTTTCGTTTTCTCCTGTGTTGTTAGAGGTAAGCTTTCTGTATTTTATTTTCTTAATTATTTTCCAGGGAAGTTTTTGATAATTTGGTTAGTTTAGTTTATTGTCATTTATTTTGGCTTAACTCTTCCCGATGTAATTTTGCTCCTTATTTTCTGTAATAAATAATATTTTCTTAATAAGTCTCAGTGGTTTGTGTTTTGGTTTATATCTTAGGGAGAACAAGTGCGGCGGCACCAGGGATTATGTTTTTAATCCCTGTTATCTTATGTTTTTGGTTTAAGGATTTTTAATTTAATTTATAACAAAATTATGTTCAACTTAATTTGATTGTTTAAGGTCATCCCATTAAAAATTGTTTGCAACCACAATCTAAAAATGTAATAAATCCAATGACTTTTTTTTTTTTTTACATTTTTTATTTATTTATTTATTTTTATTTTGTGTGTCTGTTGTGCTGCCCTCTGTCCTTCTGAATAGGACTTGCATTCAAGAACATTTGTTTTTCACCATCAGATCCACACTTTAATCTGAGGTTTCAGTGAGCCGTTCGAATGTTATGTGAAATACTAGTAAGATTTCCCTTCACTGGCAGTGTGATTGGAGCGCTGACAAACGTCTGTTAGTATATCAGAGCTGGCACCGGTGGGACAGGGGCCAAACGGCGCTCTATACAGAGTTATGAGCTTGTGAATGAAGACAGATTGGGTACTTAAGGGCATGTTCACTCCTGTAAATAGCCACAGTGGATGTAATGTGCCCCTATTTTCATTTGATGTTAGTAATTCTGGCATCTATTCAACGTTTATTCACAATAACTCAAGTGTTTATTTGAATCTGTAATGCAAGTAAAATAATCATAGACTTATCTTAATGCAATACAGATCCATTTGGTTCATGAAATACATTTCTTAACTGTCTGAGGGTGGAGATTTATGAAACAGAATTTCGACCTTAAATAAGCTGAACAACCGTGAGATTATTACTTCATCTATCAGTGGTTTTATATGGAATTAAGTTTATTTTTGGGCTTTTTTGGTCATTAAGTTGGCTGTAGCATTCAAAGTTATAAATAATTATCATTTTAGTTTGTTTTCCTCTTTAAAATTAATGAATTAATTTTTATATATATTGGATAGTACAATTGTGTTTGTGTTTTGATTCAGTTGAACGAAATGTAATTTGGAGTATATATGGGAGAGGCTTTTGTTGAACGTATGAAGATTGATGATGGAACAGATCAGCCAATGAAAAGCGATCCCAGTGTTTGATGGTCACCAGAGGGCGCTGTCAAGCACTTTTCTTTTTGGTTTTGTTTATAAAATATGCAGTTTCCTTGGTTTGAGAAATAAAAGCAGGACAGTTACGGGAGTATAATATAGCTTTAACTTTTTAAGTGTTGTGTTAATCTTTGGTATATTCAGTTAATGTAGCTGAGGTGTTTATTTTTTTCAAATGGAAATGTAGACTTTCCCCATATAACAATGCAGTGCATTTAATTTTTTTTCTTAGCAAAAATATATTTTAAAAAATCTGATTTATAGAAGACATTCACTATACAAATGATAGTTTTTAATAATGTTTTTTTTTTTTTTTTTTTTTTGTCAGGCATATGTAGAAGAATAATTGTATGGCAAATTAAAAAACCAAAATAAATGCCAGTGGTTTACATTGTACTCCAAATAATTATTTTAATATTGTTAAAAAATAATTTTAAGTTTACCCTTATATTATCAGTTTTACCCAATTTGTCATCAATTAATTATTAATAATTTAAAATATTTTTCAAGTAATATAATTGTTTTTTTGGTCAGAAAAAGTATGCAATTTGTGTAATATGGCTGCACGAAATTGGAACAACAGACATTGCAATATTTTAATTTACTGCAATTTATATTGATATATAAATGCAATTTAACCAAATGACTTGAATAGCTTGTAGAGAATTTATCATTTTAAATTGATTTGGATGATTATGTATGGGAGTGTATCACTAAATATAACTAAATATAATGAAAATTATAATGCAAACCATATAATAGGTGACCGTGCTTTCTGTGTGGTGGCCCCACGGCTCTGGAACTCTCTCTGGATAGCACTGAGAACTCTGGGATCAGTTAAACTTTTTAAAAAGCATTTAAAGACGCACCTTTTTGCTCAAGCTTTTAATTAACAGTATTAGTGTTTCTGTATTTGGATTTTTAATTAGTTTTATATGTTTTAACATGTCTTCTTTTAATGTCATGTGTTCCTTTAGTAGTTTTCTCATATTGTAAAGCACTTTGTGACTCAATGTCTGGAAAAGTTGCTATATAAATAAACCTTTGCTTGCTTACTTACTAATAATGATCATAATAACATCGTATTGTTTTGGGTAAATAATTATATAATTTGAAGTTACAATCTTTAAGCATTCAAATGTTGATTTGCTGTGCCCAAATGGCTTAATTAGCCTGAAATGCTTACACAGTCACAGGCCCCTATTAACACACATTCAAGTAACAAACTTGCACTCTTCAAAGTTGAAATGACTCAATATGTTGCTAACTGTATTCTCTGGTCAACTAATCCCAGCTACATTGCAGGTCCTTGTGATGGGACTGACTCGCACACAGCGATATCAATGATGAAACGATATATTGTGCAGCCCTAATATTTAATGTAATATGTGTGATGGAACAGCATTTCACCTAGATTGACATTTTGTTTTCAAGGAAGTTATTTGAATCTGTAGACCCTTG